AAGAATAAAAGAAACGAATATATTAATTAAAATATAAAAAATAAAATAAATAAGATATAATGTATATAACATACCATCTTTTGAAATATTTTTAGTCTAGATTATAAAAATATAACATTTGTTAAAAAAAAGTTTTTAATAAAGTGTATGAGAAAAATAAGTAAATAAATGTGTAAAAAAGAAAAAAAAATACATACGCTAAAGTTTATGGTGAGAGTGATTTCTTCTTTTTTTTCATTTTCTTTAGCAGTAATCTTTCCAATTTTAATTTCTTTTTTATCTTCTTTTTGATCAGGTACGGGGGTAGCATGAGAGCATGCAGCAAGGATGATGCAAAGTGTAAGGACTAAGAAATAAAATTTGTTGAATTGCATTTTGATTTTATAGAAATGTGATCTTATTGAAAAATTCGTAAACGTAAACTTAATAGATTCTTTAGAAGTTGTATGTTTGAAACTCCAAAGGAATGAAGAACATGAGAGGAAAAAGAAGTCTATTTATAATGTTTTGAGTCTATATGATCTATATGATCTATATGATCTATATGGTCTATAGGATTAGGAGATTTTATTTCCGATTCCTTTTTTTAAATTTCAGAGTTTGAAAATGAAAAGGAAATTGTATTGTGACACGATTTAAGATTCATTCATTTTAGCCTTCTTTGTTAATGAAGAAACATTTTGGCGAAGACTATTGACATCACAAATTTTGTGCTGTCAATAACGTTGGCAATGTTTTTAGATTAAGCTTATTTTGTAAATTGATTTTAATGATTTTAGAGTACAATCACGTACGATATTGTGAATTATCAATTGGTCTAAAAAAATAAATTACAAATTGGTCTAAAAATAATTTATCAATTTTGACAAATTGGGCATTTTTAAATTCAATGTTTTTAAAACAAAGAGCAGTAAACATATCAAAACTGGTAATATTAATTTTCAAATATTTACGAAGATTTAAATTATTATTTTTTAAATAAAATTTTATGAATAAATTTTACGAACTTTATTGCAAACACAGTATTTGTAACAGAATATTTCATGAGAAGATTCATAGCGGAATATTCATAACAGAATATTCAAAAAAGATGCATTGATGGAATATTCATAATAGAATACTCATAATACGGCGATAAAATTTAAACATATCTAGAGATGGGAGCCGTCAATCCGTTACATAGGATGTCCGGATTTCCGTTTTTGTTTATCAAAAATTGAATCCAATCACTAATAATAACTTAGTATGCGGTTCAGGTATAACGGTAACCAGGCATGTTTATACATAATTTGTGTGTACACGCACGAACTAGTTCTCCGGCTCCATTTCATCAGGATTCACAATGATATAAAAGTGTTGGATAGAGTATTACCGTATAAACGTAGCACTAGCACATTGACCAACTTAGCATGTTAGTTGTAAGCATGTTAATGTAAGCATGTTAGTTGTAAGCATGTTAAT